TGGCATCTTCCCTTATGTACTTAAACTGCTTCAAACAAGTGCAATGGAGTTGCGCCAAATTCTTGTGTTCATATGGACAAAAATTCTCTCTCTTGATAAGGTAGTGTTCTATGTTGAAAACTTGAAATCTCTGACAGTTCATTTTATTTCTCAAGATTCAGGTATTTACTTAGTTGATCTGTTTTTCAAATGACAGTCATGCCAGGTTGACTTGGTGAAAGATGGAGGGCATGCATACTTTATCAGGTTTCTTGACAGTTTGGATGCTTACCCAGAGCAGCGTGCAATGGCTGCTTTCGTTTTAGCCGTTATTGTGGATGGGCATAGGATTGGTCAAGAGGCTTGTGCTAATGCAGGGCTTATAGATGTCTGCCTGAGACATCTGCAACCTGAAAATCCGAATGATGCTCAGACAGAGCCTTTGCTCTTGCAATGGCTTTGTTTATGCCTTGGCAAACTTTGGGAAGATTTCCCTGAGGCTCAGTTACTTGGTCTGCAATCAAACGCACCGGAAATTGTTATATGCTTATTGTCAGAGCCTCAACCTGAAGTATGGCTGCTGTCATTTTGTGTTAATTCTTCCTTATACCTGCTTCACAACATACGTGTTAAATATTTGATCTTACCAGGTCAGAGCTTCTGCTGTTTTTGCACTTGGAAATCTTGTGGATATTGGATCTCCATCACTGAATGGAGCTGACGACGATTCTGATGATGATGAAAAGGTGAGAGCTGAAATAAATGTTGTCCGAAGCCTTCTGCAGATCTCTTCAGATGGTAGCCCTCTTGTTAGATCTGAGGTTGCCGTAGGTACGTGAATTTGCCTAATACATTGGACTTACACTCATTTAGTAATGTGTCAAGCCTATAGATTCCTCTTGATTTTGTGGCAATAATTTTGAGTTGATCTGATGTGTTGCAGCGCTTACCCGCTTTGCAATGGGGCACAATAAACATATCAAATCTGTTGCCGCCGAGTACTGGAAACCTCAAACCAATTCACTGCTCAAGTCATTACCATCGTTGGCTAATATTAATTCGAGCAATGTTTACAGTCCCAGCAGCTTAATACAAGGTAGCAGTGGCCTTGCCTCACATATTGGTCCTGTTTTAAGGGTTGGCAGTGATAACAGTGCCACTGCTCGTGATGGAAGAATCTCTACGAGCAGCCCGATTGCAACAAATAGCATCATGCATGGTTCTCCACAGTCAGATGATTCTTCCCAACACTCTGATTCAGGCATATTACTGAGAGAGAATGCAAGTAATGGTGGTCTCAACTACTCAAGATCGAGGCCTATTGATAATGGGATCTATTCCCAATTTATAGCAACTATGTGCAATGTTGCTAAAGATCCTTACCCAAGAATTGCAAGTATTGGGAAAAGGGCATTGTCCCTCATAGGTGTTGAGCAAGTAAGCATGAGAAACAGTAGACTTAGCAATGGAGGTGCACACCCAGGAGAGACATCTGTGCCCCCTTCATCAAACTTTGGAATGGCACGCTCCTCTTCCTGGTTTGATATGAACTCTGGTAGGTTAATAATTTCTATCCTTGCCAAGTGCTTGGAGGATGCCTGCCTTTTTGCATGCACTACATTATTGTGTGGGGTGTAAATGATTATTGAATTCAGCTCTTTCAATATTTTGTAGGAAATTTCTCGGTGGCCTTTAGGACTCCTCCTGTTAGTCCCCCTCAGCATGACTACCTCACAGGATTGCGCCGAGTGTGCTCGATGGAGTTCAGACCACATGTTTTGAACTCACCTGATGGCTTAGCTGATCCGCTTTTAAGCTCCAGTGCAGCCCCCAGCAACATGGGGCTCTATATACTTCCCCAATCATTAATTTACAGATGGAGTTGTGGTCACTTTTCTAGGCCACTTCTAACTGGTTCTGATGATAACGAGGAAGCAAATGCTAGAAGAGAAGAGCGAGAACGAATTGCAATGGATTGCATTGCTAAATGCCAACGATCATGTATGTGGCCAAGCAACACTATTTTACATTACATTTTTGCTATTGGAGTTCTATTTATTTATCTGATTAATGATATGCTTCCCCTTCTTCTGTGTGTTGGTGGCATTAGCAGCTTGCAAGATGACCAGCCAAATTGCTAGCTGGGATACGAGGTTTGAGTTGGGTACAAAAGCATCATTGTTGTTGCCATTTTCTCCTATTGTTGTTGCTGCGGATGAAAATGAGCAAATACGGTAAACAGATTATCCTGGAATCTCTTGTTAAAATCGATTTTTTTTTTGTGCTTCAGATACACTAGTGCAATTGCGCTAAAGTTTGGTCTCATTTCAGAGTATGGAACTATGACGATGCGCTGCCAGTGAATACTTTTGAAAACCACAAGTTATCTGACAGAGGCCTATCTAAACTTTTGCTGATCAATGAGCTTGATGATAGCTTGTTGTTAGTTGGCTCAAGTATATCTCTTATCTTTATATTTTTTCTGTTCTCATTTGTTTTTTACCATTTTGATATGTATTTTTTTTTTCATATTGTAGGTGATGGAAATGTCCGCATATGGAGAAACTATACTCAAAAGGGAGGACAAAAACTTGTAACTGCTTTTTCATCAGTTCAAGGCTATCGAAGTGCTGGTCGCAGTATTGTATTTGATTGGCAGCAACAGTCGGGTTATCTGGTGAAACTCTAAATTCTTTTCCCGATGTTTTGCAAATTGCAATGTCTCATTAATCAAGGCTATTGTAATATGGAACTTACTCCTTTTGTTGTAAAACAGTATGCATCTGGTGACATGTCCTCTATCCTTGTATGGGATCTTGACAAGGAACAAGTCAACACCATCCAGTCAACTGCTGATAGCGGGATTTCAGCTCTTGTGAGTTCTTTGTTACTGTGTGTGCTATTTGAGTGTGAAAAATTTAAAATAATGATTTTAGCTTCTTTTTTCAGTCTGCATCTCAGGTTCGATGTGGCCAATTCGCTGCTGGTTTTCTTGATGCATCTGTTAGGATATTTGACGTGCGTACACCTGATAGGTAAGTAGATGTTTGATGAGATATCAACCACATGTTCCATTGCAGAGATTTCGCTTCATGTGCATCCTCTGCCCACAACACACATATGCATGCTTATTCGCGCGCACACATTTATGCTACTTCCTAAGTTCAATTTTTCCCATTGCTGTAGGCTAGTATATACAGCAAGACCACATGCCCCAAGATCAGAAAAGGTTGTTGGTATAGGATTTCAGCCTGGGTTTGATCCCTACAAGGTAAATCCTCCCTCCTCTTTGTGCACATCTTCTGTATTTCTTGTGGTTTTAATTGTTAGAGCAGCCAATTTTTTAGAACTATATGGGATTATTTGAGCTTTACAGAGCTCCCTTTTTGTTATTTATGCAATTACAGATTGTAAGTGCATCTCAAGCTGGAGACATTCAGTTCCTTGATGTTAGAAGGGCATCTGAACCCTACCTCACTATTGAAGCACATAGGGGTTCATTAACGGCATTAGCTGTTCATCGGCATGCCCCAGTTATTGCAAGCGGCTCAGCCAAGCAGATGATCAAAGTGTTTAGTCTTGAAGGAGAACAGTTGACAATAATTCGCTACCAGCCATCTTTTATGGGTCAACGAATAGGCAGCGTAAACTGCCTTTCTTTCCACCGATACAAATCACTCCTTGCCGCTGGTGCTGGTGATAATGCTCTTGTTTCTATCTACGCGGAGGACAATTACCAAGTACGATGAGGTTTACAGCTTGTTCCATGATGCAATGATGATGCATTCAGTCGGCCTCATGTATGGCCAAGCGTTGATCCACACCAATGGTACAGCTACAAGATACAAGATGTTATGGAGAGCCTGGTCAGTGACATGGTGGTGGTGGCATAGAAGTGCCACAGCTTCTGGTGCATTGCTTCTTGGGCATATCTACATCTCTGATCTGACCTGCAGTTTGTAAGATACAAAACAGGATTCATTAGCCTCCCTTGCAGAAGGTCGCGAAAGTGGCATCTTGCCCTGGTCCCATCATTACACTTGGAGGCTTCCCAAATAATGATAACTAGGTTAACCAAACTGTAAATAGTCATCCTATTTGGATTGTTGTTCTCCTTAGCCAGCTTCCTTTCCCAAATGTAAAAAGGTTTGGAGGTGCTTCCATATGATAAATCAGGTTAGTGGGGACTGCCTGGGCAAGTGGTTGTTTATATGGGCCCAGGGAGAATGCATGCGCATGTCTCTCATAGATGTTGTTCAATAGATAGATGCATTTGTCCAGCTAACACAATATTAGATGGCTTGATGAATCAATGCCTTCTTTTAAGTCTTTCATTGTAAGCACTGGACAGTCATCCAGTGCATCAAGGTAGGGCGTCATTGTCCTTTTGTATATATGAATTGTACTTGTACAGTTGCCCACTTTGATGCAATGCGTCCAAAGATGTTTTGAGGTCGCCCTTGGGTTTATTTGGCGCCACACAACAGTTTAAGAATCAGGTATGTCTACATGGGAAGATGTTGAGGTAGAATGATGAGGATTGGAAGGCCGGAAGCACTTTGGGTCTGTAAATAGTTTAATGGAAGTAGTGATGTGAAGCTGTGAGTGTTTTATCTTTGTGGCTTACTTTGTCTGGGTCGCCAGACAAACCAGTGGCCTTTGGATGTGCTGGATCTATTATTGGAGGACCGGGAAAATGCTGGTGGAAGTCTTACATTTGCTGAAATTGTCTTGGGGAGAAACTCAAATGAAGACATTTTGGCAGTTGGTATAGAAATGATTCTATTGGGCGTTTTCATAGCGTGGAGATACACTGGGGAAGTCTGATGCTGAAACTGTCTTGGATGAGAAACTCAAATGAAGGCATATGGCGGTGGCATACACAACACAAATGTTCCTGGGTTCCATAGCTTGGAAGAACCCTGGGGAAAATATTCTGATGCTTGGAGACTTGAAGTGAGCTTTGTACTGAGGTAATCTGTAACTGATTAGCGTCGGGAGCATAGCATTGGTCGAGTGAGTGAGTAATAAGGGTGTCTGTGTTTGAGATGTGTAATAAAGGATCGATCTTGTTGACGATCAACTTGAGGAGCGAATGCAAATCATCAGTTTACTGTATTATTTATGTTGAGGAAGTTTTCCTGGTCACAATTATACTACTAACATGTTTTGCACCCCAAAAAAACATGCCACAAAGAAGAGATCAATTGCTAGGAGCGCCTAGAAGAAGAAGCTGCTGTATTTTACTCAAAAGAAAACAACAAAGTAGTTGTTCTGAGGCACTTACAAGTGGGCCCATTGCTGGGCCTCGAAGAATCGATCATCCACACGCACTTTACAACTTCGCTTTTCTTCGCATCGCAGCACAGCCAAAACCCTTCTCTTCTCTCTCTCTCGACTCTCGACGACGACGCGGCGGCGGCGGCGGCGAGGTGGGAATGGACATGCCGCCCACGCCCCTTCCGCCGGAGACCGCCAACACCTCGCCCGCTCCCAACGGCGCCACCGCCGGAATCCGTAAGTTTCTCTCTCTCCCCTCTCTCTCAGGACTCTTCTTTGGTCTCAACAAGAACCAAGGACTGTTCATTCCAGCGCGATAACCACAGCTTTTGGTTCCTCTCCACTTTTGGAAATTGCTTAGGTTATTTACTTTACTGGAGAGCATTCACCATCATACATGATGCATTGATGCGCCTGGGATATAACTACTACTCCTACTACATTTGTTGCCGAAACATTACTTGCATTATGTCATCTTGATAGAGAGCTGGTTGCTGGGACGAAATCTCAAAAATTGCTCTTCCCGGCATCGTGGTAATGCTATTTTCTGAGTTGTGCTATGCTTGCTTTGGCCCAGGGGTTGAGAACTGCTACGTCTTCAAGAGCCGGCTGCAAGAGTATGCACAGAAAACCGGCCTCCAGACTCCAGAGTATCATACCTTCAAGGAGGGACCTTCCCACGAGCCTGTCTTCAAGTCCACAGTGGTGATTAATAATACCAGCTATGACTCCCTGCCCGGATTCTTCAACAGAAAGGCTGCAGAACAGTCTGCTGCTGAAGTTGCCCTCATGGAAATTGTCAAGTCCATACCAGCCAACGCAAATATCCCAGCTGTTGTAAGTCACTGTCTGCTCTACTTGTGTTCTCTTTTGTTTAACTCAACATGATGGAATACCTGGGGCCTGGGGGGACCTGCTGGTGTAGTACAAGATTAGTAAAATTGTTGGGATAGTCTACTTATTTCAATACAGTGCCTGCTTTTCAATTCGCGCGAATCTGAAGAATGAGATAGTCGCTCACTTGATAACTCCAGAACGAATCAGGGCTTTCAAGTTTGGATAGAGTTAGGTCCTAGAGAGCAAGAAGAGAGGTATTTGCATAGAAGGGATTGTGAAAGCTTTGCTGTCAGTCACCACGGTCTTATTATTATCTGCCGTCATGATCTGTCTGTATCTTTTCAGGTTCATAATTCTACTCAGGTATTATATGAATATAACAGGAAATTGGTTGTTAAAGAGCTTCTGAACTCACTCTTCACCGGTTTGTGAACCATGAACAATGCAAACATCAAAGTACACATATTAAGTTTTGTGATCATTTCCGAGTCCAAGACCTAGATAATTTTGATGCTCTTTTGGTCGAGTCCCTAGGAATTAACGCCTGACTAAATTAGCATAGTGCTATAATCTCTTACCTGGATTCTATGTTCTTGACACACCTTAATATGTTTTCCAGCAAGAGACTGGCCTGTGCAACACAGGAAGTCAGCAACTGAACCTGAGGGAAATGCACCGAGAAGCTGACCACCACCACCACCTTCTGGCAACCCTTGCACGCCACCGCCGTCTTGCTGCCGCTGCCACCCTCTTCTCCTCCACCCTCCGCACTGCTCGTGCCCTCAACTCCCTCCTCGCTGCTATCTGCTCTTCCCCAGCGTTCCTCCGCTTTGCCCCTAAAGTCCTCCTGCTCGCTGCCCCATCAGTCTCCCCTGATGCCACCACCTTCCACATCCTCACCTCCACACTCTGCCAGGCCCACCGCCCCGCTGCTGCCGCCGACCTCCTTTGCTGCATGCCCTCGCTTCTCCTTGACCCTGACCCGGCCAGTTGTCGTGCTGTCCTTTCCTCCCTGTGCCAGTACGCTTCCGCTCAGGATGCAGTAGCATTCTTGGACAAGATGTGCCATTGGGGCATTTCCCCAAGCAGATCTGACTACCACGCCGTCTTCGAAGCGCTTCTGCAGGAGGGAAAGGTAGTGGAGGCATATGAGGTCATGAAGAATAAGATGGGCTCTAACAGGGTGGCACCTGCACTTGCATACTTCAAATTGACAATGCAAGCTTTCAGCAAGTGCTTGGAGTTTGATTCTGTGGAGGAGGTGTTTGATGAAATGCTCCTGAGAGGGCTGGTGCCAGACGTGGATGTGTACAACGTGTACATTGGCGCGCTATGCAGGAAAGGTGACCTTGCCAGAGCGCGACAGATGATGACCTGCATGGAGCATGCCGGGTGCCCACCGGATGTAAGGACATTTGGTGTGGTAGTCGCCGGGTGCATGTCTGCCGGGGACATGGGCACAGTGAGGGAGTTGGTGCAGGAGGCAACAAGGCGTGGCCTGCAGTGGGATCCACCGGCATTGTCGGAGCTGATAGGCTTGCTGCAGGCAGGTGGCGGTGCCACACAGGCACAGGAGTTACTGTTGGAGCCACTATTTGTGCACGATGCACCGGTGTTGGGGCAGCTGATTGGAGCATTGTGCAAGCAAGGGCTATTGGGACCTGCTACTGTAGTAGATGATTATTAGAAAGCATTGTAATGGTCTTTTTGTTTCAAACTTTCACTACAGTTGTTGGTTTTGAATTTTCAAAAATCTGAAGAACGGTATAAGAATTATAAAAACAGAGACAGAAAAGGCAAACCATGGACTATAACTCCAGGAATACTCGGAGCTTTCGGCTTTGTAGATCACTAGATTGTCGGCTAAAGGTAGGACCCAGTGAGCAAGAAGGGAGGGTATTTGTATAGATGGGCCAGGTAGGAGATTGCAGAAAGTCTTTATTGTTGTCTTCTGTCATGATTTATTTGTATTTTCTCAAGCTCACAACTCTACTAAGTTATTCCCATGAATACAATAGGAAATTAGACTCGTACTGCCAGGCTTTAGATAATTTGGATGTTCTTTAGTTCTTAGGAATCAGGCTGACTAAAATTAGCATAGTGTTATAATCTCTTTCCTGGATCACTGTGCATTTTTTTACACATATTAATATGTTTTCAGCAAGAGACTGGGCTGTGCAAGAATCTTCTTCAGGAGTATGCACAGAAGATGAATTATGCCATTCCATCTTATATTTGCACCAAATCAGCCTCAGGCTTAGCTCCTTTCATATGCACTGTAGAGATTGGTGGAATACAATATATTGGTGCTGCAGCCAGGACAAAGAAAGATGCAGAGATAAAAGCTGCCCGAACTGCTCTTCTGGCAATCCAAGGTATTGTTCTGTTCTTCTCTAAGGGTCTTTTTATTTTTTTTATATTATCCAGGCTATTCACTGTTGAAATTAATATTGCTATGTTCTTGTTTGTGTGTTATGGTGAACATTGGGTCATGCATTGGCATTGCTTGGTGCAGGTCAATCAGAGGGTTCGGCAAATGGTGCAACAAAATATATTGTAGTTCCTGGTAAAAGGGTAGGTAAGGAGGTAGAGAAAAGGCCAATTGAAACACCGAAACCACTTAAAGTAAAGAAAGGTGGTTTCAAGAAGAAATGGAACAAGAGGAAATTCATGAAGAAGGATGGTCAAGCTGTTGATGTGGAAAAGGATGAAGCTAGAGTGGCTGGAGATGCTCACGATTCTGATGTCCTAATGCAGCCAACAGTAATAACACAGGAGGCATCTTGTGGCACTCTGTTCCTGCAACCTTGTGAGGAAGCTAAAAGAGTAGAAGCTGAGCCACCTAGAGATATTGAAATGGTACAGCCTGATAAGGAGAACCAACACAGTGACGCTGCATTGGTGCAACCTGATGATGAAGCTAGAGTAGAACAGGAGCCATCCAGAGATATTTCAGTGGTGCAACCTAATGAGGAAGCTATAAGTGGTAAGCAGGAACCATCCATCGATGCTGCAATTCTGCAACCTAAAGAGGAAGCTTCAAGTGTAAAGCAGGAGCCATTCATCGATACTGCAATGCTGCAAGCTTGTAAGGAAGCTGGAAGTGTAGAACTTGGGCCAGCCAGAGATACTGTAATTTCCCAACTTAATGAGCAAGATAGGGCTGTAAAGCAGGAGCCAGCTGGTGACATTGTAGTGCCACAACCTGACGTGCACGCTAGGGTCGTAAAGGAGTAGACACCGAGAACGGAAACTAATGGGGAAGCTACGAACATGAAGGAGACACCAAAGAACTCTGCAATATGTAATTCTCCAGAGACAAAGGATTTTGGAAATATTACAGCAATGGGTTCAGATCCTCCCACAACTAATATGAGCGAAGAATAAGCCGTGGTTGTTGAATCAAAATGCAATAGCCTTCCAGTGTCAGTAGTGTGTTCACCTGCAGAGGTGTGAAACCTGAATGGCTGGCTTTTCCAGTTTAAAAAGAGGCAGCTGGAATAGGAAGATGTATGTGGGCTGAGAATAGTTAGTTCATATTTGTCATTGTTAGCTAGGCATTTGTATGCCTGATGATATGAATGAAATGTATTGCCTGCTGCTTTAGTGAGTATTACTTTGAAAAGAAGGGGAAAAAAAATGAAATCGAGGTTTCTGATCCCTGTTTCCTCTCGAACTGGTAATCTGATCGTTGGATGGTTCTTATTTGAAAATCAACATTTTTCTTGTTAAGGATGCTAAGAATATATTAACTTCCTGTCTGAATATACTAGCATTGCCCACCAAATACCCAAACTACAGCATATCCAACATGTTTCCAGGATTTACTTCCTTCCAGACATTGTACGAAAAATAAGTATTCACGTTCAGTAAATACAACACTGAACGTTTAAGTATTCACGTTCGGGCGGATCCAATACAAGTGATTGAAACAGAAAGCTTTAAGCTGCTGGTGTTCCCTAATGCCTACGGATAAATACAACACTGCCAAACTCACCTCAAAGAATGGTGCCTCAAGAGCTGATAAATACAACACTGTACTCGGCCACTGAGATTCAGTTCATTCATTTGTCGCACACAACACAAACTGAAAGTCAATTTTTCTTTCATTTGCCTCTTTGTACTCTTAGAGTATACAGAAAATATGAAAAGCTATTTCATTTGTTTCTTCATGCACTTCCTCACTCCAGCCACTAGCTTCTAAATAGCTTTTATGCTCTCATGTGCGTCCTTCAACTATCTATCACACACAAGCTACTGTACATGTATCACACACCAGCACTGTACATGTTTCAAGAAATACAAATATGTGTAACAGCAATGGCCAGTTGGCCACTCCCCAGCCTCCCAGGGAACACAAAAAATTGTCAAGTCAAGAGAAATAAGAAAAGAGAAAACAATTGATTAATTCATTATGTATTGAGAGCTTCGCAGGTAACTCCATAACTTATACTCTAGTATGCTTTTCACTTTTCACTTGGGGGGAAATGATCGATTCTTATACCGAGGTGGCCTCATCTCATTTTCAGGGGCATCACTCTTGCCGCTGCTACTCTTGCCTCTTAATGGCTCGGTTTCTAAATTATTAGAGATGTGGTTCTGTCGTTGTCTTCTTTCCTGCAAATCAGTGGACATGTGTTTAATTCATGAGGCAATGATAGAATAAAGCCATGATTTCATTATGACAAACCTTAATACCATGTTATGCAATGCTCTCTATGTCGGCTAATGCTGCTAAGACAGATATACAGGATATAATAAATTTAAATTGCTCACGTTGTCCATCTGTCACTAATTTTACTCTGAGATGAACATTGGATGTACTTATAGCACAATATAGCAGGAATATGCATGATTTCCAGGTAAATCACTAATCGTACTCTTTAGGTAAAGGAAGAGTTTACAGCTACAGCCTTTGCATCTGATATGCACACATGTATATGATATATCACCTATCATATGTATGCATATTTATTTTTGTCACGAATCAAACCTCTTGAGGAATGGGTTCATTAGAGTCCAACATCCGGACCACCTGGTCCATCCTTGGTCTCTTCTCAGCATTCAAATCGATGCACCTCAGAGCTGTCAAAAGGGCACGTTTGAGCTCCTTTGTCGATGGTCTTCTCTCCAGGTTTGGATCAACAACTTCTTCAGATCGTCTGTTGGCAACCATCATTTTAAGCCAGTCAACTAGGTTTACCTACAAATGATCAGTAGTGTGTTACAGTACTTATCAAATCATAAGTTCATAGCTTCTCGATTGCTTCATAAGTGATTGTAGTTGCATGCTTTTATGTAATAACTTGGTACTGAACAATACAGGAAAAAGATGTCAACAAGTATTACCTCATCTGGAGGGCGATCATAGTCAATGGGATCTCTACCTGTAATAGCTTCCAGCAGAACCACCCAAAACTGTAGACATCACTCTTTTCATTCAAAAGTCCACTGTTAGCATACTCAAGCGCGACATAGCTGCAAAATAATAACACAATTGTTGAGTACCATTAGTGATTAGCACCAACAGAATTTTTCTGAAATTACAGTGGTTAAGATTTGAACATAATACAAAGAGAACACGCATTAATTCATTATACAAAAGCATGAAAAGCTTACCCAAAAGTACCCATAACCTGCTTCCTCTTTCTTGATGCCGTGCCGCGCCAGAGACCGCGTCGCCCCACTGCAGCTGCTGCCTGCCCGAGGCCCACGCCATCGACCGGCTGCGCCGCCCGTCCAAGCCTTTACTTATCTCCTTTCTGGTAACACTTCTTCGCTCTCCAGTTTCTCCCCTTCTTCCTTCCTTGCTGCTGTTCTTGTATTCATTGTAGACGATGCTTCTTGCTTGCGACGACGATGCACAAACCGCAGAAGAAGAGGAAAATGAATTTGAGGTTTCTGATCCGTGTTTTCGCTCGAACTAAATCAACATCTTCTTGTTAAGGGGGTCTCCAGTTGTTGCTAAAAATACATGAACCTCCTTTCTGGGTTATACTAGCATTACCCACCAAATACCCATACTACAGTGTTTCCAGGATTACTTGCTTTCTTCCAAACATTGTGCAAGAAAGAAGTATTAATGTTCAGTCTGTGCTTCCTCCAACACTTAACGTGGTTATGAATTTTCAGTAGTCAGTAGTTGCTGTTAGCCAATCTATTCTATATAGAATATTCCTGCTACATCTCAACCCTGCTGTACCCGTGCACCTTCTGGAGATTATTCTGAACCATCCTCCTCCTGGTCTCCTCTGCAGACTGCCATTCCCCATCGTCAGCATAGACGTTTGACAGCGAAACATAAGCGCCATCGCTGCTCGGCGCCATTCTCAGGATCTGCTCTGCCGCAAGCACGCCAAGTTGCTTGTTCCCATGTATCCGGCAACCGTTCACCAGCGACCTCCAAACTGCAGGCCATGGTTGGAACGGCATTGCATCGATCACACCCTTCGCCTCATCGAGTAGCCCCTTTCTTGCCAGGAGATCAACCAGGCAGGCGTAGTTGGCTCTTGCTGGATGCATGCCATATGCAGACAGCATGGTGCTGAACGCAAGCTTCCCCTGCTCGACTAGCCCCAAATGGCTGCAGGCCGACAGAATGGCAACGAATGTGGCTGGTGTTGGATTCAGTTTAGCCTTTGTCATCTCTTCGTAGAGGTTGAGAGCTTCGTGGATCAAACCATGGTTGGCATAAGCTGTCAGCATGGTGTTGTACATGATGGCATCGTTGGTTGCTGATGAAACAGCGGTGAAAGCGCTCTCTGCAGAGGTAATCTCACCGCACTTCGCGTAGGCATCAACAACAGCGCTGGCTACGCAGAAGTGATTGGAATGACCTGTCTTGAGAACAAGCGAATGGATGCATCTGCAGTGCCTGATCAACGCAGCATTTGCACAGGCATTTAGGACGGTTGCCAGGATGAACTCATCAGGCTTGTTGGTGGAGTCACCTCTAAACAAGTTGAAAAGGAAAATGACCTCATCGTTCAGGCCATGCTTCAGGAATGCAGAGATAATGGCTCCCCATGACACCAGCTCCATCTTGCCAGAGTCCTCGATGATTTTCAGTGAACTCTGAACTGACCCAAACGCTGCTGCATTTGCCTTGATCAGTGAAGTGGACACGAACTGACAGGAGGCAAAACCTTGTTTCAGAATAATTGCGTGGATTTGCTCATGATCCCTTGCGCCATGAGCTTCCTGGAAGGCAGACAGAACAGCTGAATAGGTGAACTCATCAGGTCTTTCTCCAATGCAAACCAAACTGCGGAAGAGCCTCATTGCATCTTCAGAGTGACTGAAGAGACCATAACCTGCAATTATCTCGTTCCATGTCACAATGTTTCTGAAAGTGAGGCTACAGAAGAAACCATATGCACGGTCGAGCAATCCACATCTGAACAGCATGTTGATTACAGCGTTTGCTACAAGAACATTGTCAGTATAGCCATGACGATAGGCAAGGGCAAAGATCTGAAGGCCCAATGAGGCATTCTCTTTAGCACCACTCAGCCTCAACAAGACAGAAAAAGTAACCTCATTAGGTTTAAATCCGGTTCGTGACATGTCGATCAAGTAGCCAAAAACTGCCTTGTCGTCTTCATCATGCGCAAAACCTGAAAACATGGTATTCCAAGACACGGTGTCTTTTTGTCTAATCTTGCGAAAGACAGAAGCAGCAGTTTCCTTCTGTCTGGCTCTGAAATACATATCAACAAGGGAATTCATGACCGAGGTATTGGACTCGAGCATGCTGTGGATGACAAGACAGTGAAGCTGTCGCCCAAGACCCCACTGCGCACTGATTGAACAAGCCTTAACAGCAGAAATATAGGTGTACCGGTCAGGTGCAAGCCCAGAATGATGCATCACGAGCACTGTACTTATGGCATGATGCCCGAAACCATTCGAAACATAGCCTTCAAGCATGGCATTCCAGCACGTCAAATCTTTGTTCCTGATATGTGCGAATGCACGCTGTGCAGCAGCAATGCGGCCATGCTTTGCGTACATGAGCAGCAGAGAGCTCCCCACAAAAGGATTGCTATCCAGGCCAGCTCTGACGGCAACACCGTGGAGCGAAAGGGCGATGAGGAGCTTATTGGAGGAATGGGCCACCATGGAGTGGCAGGCAGTGAGCATGGTTGCGAGCGAGAACTCGTTGGGGCAGAAGCCGCTCCTGATCATGGAAACGAAGAAACGAAACCCCAGGTGAGGCGCGCCATTGCGCGTGGAGGCAGAGACCATGGCTGTCCAGGAGACGAGGTTCCTGTGCGGCATTTCGTCGAACACCTTGAGTGCTGAGTCGAGAAGGCCCCGCCTAGCGTAGTAGATGGGGAGGTAATTCATGTTGAAGGTGTGAGCGAGCGTGCCCAGCTTAAGGGCGTGCGCGTGGAGGTGTGAAGAGGAGGAGGAGGCCATGGAGAGCGCGCGGGCGATGGCGAAGGCATCCCTGGAGATGGAGGTAGAGGAGGTGCAGTAATGCAGCAGGTGGAGAGGAGAATGCGATTGGAGGAGGTGGCGGTGGCGAGTCCAAGGAAACATGCCGCTTCGCTGCTCTCATGAATGAATTGAACAAGTTGTTTGTGATCTGATGATCTCTGTCAGTTCAGTTGTACTGTAGTAAGAGAGTTTTATTTTGGTGTCCTGCACGGGAACGGGAATTGCAGTGCAGGGAGGGAGGGAGGACGGTCAGCGATCTGCTTCAATTGGGATGACCGTCCATGATGATTGGATCTAATGGTGTTTGCAAAAAAGATAAGGCAGAGAGTTTGAAGCGAAGGGTAGGCTGTGATAAGTTTCTCATCCACGAGAGCGATGGCCGTAGCGGAGGTTTACTGATGTTATGGAAAAAGGAGGTGGTGCTCAAACATTTATACATTGATGTAGTGGTGGGGGAAGGAGGTGAATCTATGGGGAACCAAGCTGGGATCAGAAGGACCAAACATGGCAGGCGATGCGTTTCCTGAAAACTGCAAATACTAATGCCTTACCATGGTTGGTAGTGGGAGATTTTAACGAGATCCTCTATCATCATGAAAAGGAAGGAGCAGAGGCATCTTCAAGCTTTTCATGAGGTTTTAGATGACTGCGAGTTAACTGACATCGGTTATACGGGTGACAGTTTTACTTGGCAAAGAGGGAAGATTCGTGAGCGGTTGGATCGGGGTGTTGCAAACGCACAGTGGAGGGGTGCTTTTCCTGGCGCTGAATTGGTGAATGGGGAATATCTGAAATCTGATCACCGGCCTATCTGTGTTAAAACTGAATCGCCAGGGGTGCAACTGGTTCACAGTAACCGGCCGAGGTTTTTTGAAGCTAGATGGTTGAAGGAAGAAACAGTACAGGAGGTGGTGCAGACTGCCTGGGCACGAGCGCTGTCGCAAGGCCAGGGTACTTCTTTGTCCATTCGGATCTTCATATTTGGGACAAAGAGGTGCTTAAAAAACCTGTGCATCGTATAAAGAAGTTGAGGAAGGAGTTGGAAAAATTGAAACGAGGTCCGATGACGGATGAATCAATAGCAGCCCAGAAGGAAGTTCTTTTACAACTGGAATTGCAGTTAGAACAGGAGGAGATTTACTGGGTGCAAACTGGTTGAAGCATGGTGAGAGAAATACTAGTTTTTTTCATCATTTTGCATCCAGTCGGAAGAAGAGGAATCTGGTGAAGGGGTTGGTCGATGATCAAGGTGTACGTCATGAAGATATGCAGACTATGGGGGCGATGGTGAAGGAATATTTTGAAAAATTATTTACAAGTGAAGTTATGGAGATAGATGATGAAATTCTAGATGATGTGGATCGGAAAGTATCTGTAGAGATGAATCAGCTCCTCCTGGCGCCGTTTTCAAAGGAGGAGGTGAAGAAGGCTCTCTTCAGTATCGGCGATTTAAAAGCTCCAGGGCCAGATGGCCTTCATGCTATTTTTTTCAAGCGATTCTGGCATCTGTTGGAGGATGATCTAGTGGAGGAGGTACTGGGAGCAATCCAACGCGCCGAAGTACCGGTGGGGTGGAACGATGCAACCATTGTTATGATCCCTAAAGTTGATAACCCCGACAAAGTGACACAATTCCGACCCATATCTTTATGCAATGTGGTGTATAAAGTGATATCCAAGATGTTATCTTTCAGATTGAAACAAATTTTACCTGAGATTATTAGTGACCATCAGAGTGCTTTTGTCCCGGGGAGATTAATAACGGACAATATACTTTTAGCATATGAATGTATACACACAATGAAAAGGAAGAAGGGAAGAAAGGGGTTATGTGCAGTAAAGTTGGACATGCATAAAGCCTATGATAGAGTTGAGTGGGGGTTTTTGGAAAAGATCATGACTAAATTCGGTTTTGATCAACGTTGGATTAAACTCATTATGGCTTGTGTTTCTTCGGTCAGATACAACGTCCGTTTTAACAATGCTGAGACGGATGTTTTTATACCTTCTAGGGGGTTGCGCCAATGAGATCCTTTATCTCCATATTTGTTTCTGATGGTTGCTGAAGGTTTGTCTTGTATGATAAGGAAGGCAGAAGAAAGAGGAGAGTTGGATGGGGTGAGAGTTTGTAGAGGATCACCAACAATTTCCCATCTCCTTTTTGCAGATGACTCACTCATCTTAATGCAAGCTGATAAAAAGAATGCTGATTGCTTGGCAAGCTTACTGGACAGATATTGTGCAAATTCAGGACAGAAACTAAGTGAGGCCAAATCGAGCATTTATTTTTCTCGTAATACAAGAGGTGGATGTTAAAACGGAAGTATGCCAAATCCTGAATATTATGACAGAAGCTCTCAGTGACAAATATCTCGGTCTTCCGGCTCTGGTGGGTACTGACCGTAGTGATTGTTTTCGTCACTTGATTGACAGGGTTGTGTCTCGTATAGATGGATAGAAGGAGAAAATTCTAAGCATGGGAGGGAAGGAGATTCTTATTAAATCTATAGCTCAGGCCGTCCCAGTATATGCTATGATGGTGTTTAAAATTCCAAACAAAATTTGCAAAGGAATCACAGATGCCATCTCGCAGTACTGGTGGGGGGATGATGCAGATCATAGGAGAATCCATTGGCAAGAATGGTGGAAGATGTGTATGCCGAAGGGCAAGGGAGGCATGGGATTCAGGGATCTACAGTCTTTCAATTTGGCATTGTTAGCAAAGCAGGTATGGAGATTGCTAAGTGATCCTGACTCTCTATGTGCTAGAGTGCTTCGAGCTCGGTACTACCGGGATGGTAAATTACTGAATGCCAGAATGAAGAGTGGGAGTTCCTATACCTGGCAGAGTATACTAGCTGGTTTGCAATGTTTCAAGCAAGGTTATATCTGGCGGGTTGGGGACGGTACACAGATCAAAATCTGGGAAGACAACTGGATTCCAGGTAGCCATAATATGAAAATCCAAACAAATAGGGGGAATAATTTGGTGGCTACCGTGGATGAGCTGATAGATCCCATAAATTTCACATGGGGTGGAGACCTGCTGAAAACTATTTTTTGGCCGATTGATGTTTGTCGAATTATGCAAATTCCTATCCGGGCTGGAAGGGATGATTTGGTGGCCTGGCAGTATAATAGAAGTGGTACCTTTTCAGTAAAGTCGGCATATCACTGTCAGTGGGATTATAAGTTTGGGGAGAGAAGCGCACAAATGCAGGCTAGTACTGCATCGAGGAGTCGGTTATGGAAGAGGTTGTGGAATTTAAAGGTTCCAGCAAAAATCAAGATTTTTGGTTGGCGGGCACTCAAAGGTTTAGTGCCGTGCCGGGCGATTCTTGCAAATCGACATGTGGGTGATTCGGGAGGTTGCCCAGTCTGTCAGAACGGACCCGAGGATATAAAACACATGATTTTTACATGTGCTCGAGCGAAGCAAGTGTGGAATTCGCTGGGAGTTGAAGATAGGATACAACGTCTATGTATGACGGAAAGATCGGGTTCTGTAATTCTTGAGGAAATATTAATCAGGGAGGATCAAGTTCAGGATCTTCAGGTGGGATTTGCAGAGCTTGTCATCACAGCTGCCTGGTATATATGGTGGGAGCGACGACAATTGGTCCATGGCGAGGCTGTTCAACGTCCGGCAAGGTCTGGCATGGCAATTGCGGCTCTCACCAAGAACTATAAACTGGCAACAAAGAAAGATTCAGTCTTAAGACAAGGATGGAAGAAGCCACCGGAGGGTAAAGTGATGGTGAATGTTGATGCCGGATTCGATGAGATGGGTGGATGTGGTACTGTTGGCTCTGTCATCAGAGATTGTTCAGGTGGAGTTCTAGCAGCTGCTCATAGTTTTGTACCGCATCTGGTGGATGCTCCGATGGCGGAGGCCTTTGCGCTGAAAGAAGGACTGATGCTAGCTCAGCAGATAGGATGCAATCGGTTGATTATCCAATCGGACTGTATGGAGGTAGTACAAATTATGACGGATGGTGGCTTCACAGCGAATTCGGCAGCTGCAATTTATGAAGATTGCAACATCCTATGGAGTGGTTTTGCTGATATAACGATAGAACATTGTAGCAGGGAGGCGAATCAGGTGGCTCACAACCTAGCTAGAAGAGCTCGAGAGTATGAGACAAATTGTACTTGGGTCGATGAGCCCCCTAGATTTATTTTAGACTCGTTGATGAACGATGTAACTATCTTGAATGAATAAAGTTTAGCCGGTTTGTTTCAAAAAAAAAAGTATTTGCAAAAAAGAAAAACAAAACAGTTTTTTACAACAACCTCACCCCTCTGCATTCATTCATCCGGAGAAGATATGTACAGTTCTTGAATGCACAGTATGTGAAGAGTATGGGACCATCAACTAGTGTTCTAGTGTTCTTCACTTCACTGATTGAAGCACTAGCCTACTCCAGTTGTTAATGGCTGTAGACTATAGATAGATCTTAAATGTATTTTTTTTCAGTGTACTGATCACATTCTTGTTTCTTCTCAAACTTATAAGCATAACCCATCTGGTTGGTTGGAGAAGAAAATGTACTGTAGCACAACCACAGGGTCTGGTGGTTGGCGCTCTGTCTGTCACGCTCACGCAGGCAGCAACTACTCTTTTGCGACTCTGACTGTCAAAATGTCCAAAATGGCAGGCAGCCTTGTCTGTCCTCTTCATTTGGAAGGAGGTGTAACCCTGTTGCCTTCCTAATTAACTGGAAGATATACCACCCGCCAAGTCTGACCTGACCGTCTCAAGCCAACCCACGAAGTTCCAAATTTTTGGGAGAGCCATTGCTTTACTTGCTTGTTTGTTATCATCACTGACCAAACAGAAAACAGTTACAAGAACACATCTTTGAGTTTTGGGCGGATCCAATACAAATAATTGAAACAGAAAGCTTTAAGCTGCTGGTGTTCCCTAATCCCTACCAAGCCTTTACTTGTCTCCTTTCTGGTAAGACTTCGTCTTCGCTCTCCAGTTTCTCCCCTTCTTCCTTCCTTCCTTGCTGGTGTTCGTGTTCCCATGATGAAGAAAATCCCCTCTTTCTTTTCCAATATCTAGTCTAGGTTCTTCCGTTCTTGTGTTCATCGTAGAATTTTGCTGAAATTTTCATCTGTTTTTCTTTTCCTCCTGCAATGCAGGTGGAGGAGAGGGCTCAGAGGGGCCTTTACGAATTGCAAATTTGCAATGCTTCTTGCTTGTGATTGTGACGACGATGCACAAACCGCAGACACAATTAATGGCGACGCCCCGATGCTCAGCAGCTACCGCGCACCGCCGCTCGCCGACCACCTCCTCGACAAGCCGCACTGGCTCAGCCAGCTCAAACCATGGCGCCGCCATGCCCACGGCGACGACCACCTCTCCGCCGGAATCGCCATCAACTGGAGCTCTGTGCGTTCGGCGACTAAGGACTGGATCACCAACCCCATGAACATCGCCATGCTCCTCTGGCTGCTCTGCGTCGCCGTCTCCGGCGCCATGCTCGTCCTGCTCCTCCTCGGCCTGCTCGACGGGGCGTTCCCCACGCCGGCGGCGAGGAACCACTGGATCGAGATCAATAATCAGGTTCTCAACGCGCTCTTCACGCTCATGAGCCTCTACCAGCACCCCGTCCTCTGCCACCACCTCTTCCTGCTCTGCCGCTGGCGCCCCGCCGACGCCGCCGACCTCCGCGCCGCCTACTGCAAGGACGCAGCCGGCCCGCGCCACGGCGAGCGCGCCCACATGGCCGTCGTGGTCGCGCTGCTCCACCTCACCGTCGTCTGCCAGTACGTGCTCTGCAGCCTGTACTGGGGGTACACCAAGAAGACGCGGCCGGAGCTCGTGGAGAACGGGTTCTTCGTGCTCGGCGTCGCCGCGCCGGTCGTCGCCGTCGTGTACACCGTGTGCAGCCCGCTCGGCAAAGACAACTTATACTGCGAGCTCGCGTGCCACGACGCCTTCGGCTCGGTGACCCAACACCCGACCAAGAGGCACGCTGCCGTGGTCGAGCCGGAGTGGGCCGGCGGCATGTTCGACTGCGGCGGCGACGCGACGGCGTGGTGGCTCTCCCTCTCGTGCACCTTCTGCGTCTTCGGGTGGAACATGGAGCGGCTCGGGTTCGGCAGCATGTTCGTGCACACCGCCACGTTCGTGCTGCTGTGCTTCGCGCCGCTGTGGGTGATGGGCGTGTCGGCGCTCCACATCCACGACGTGGTCATCGGCGACATGGTTGGCGGCGCCGGCGCGCTGCTCTGCGTGTGCGGGCTGCTCTACGGCGGCTACTGGAGGATCCAGATGAGAGAACGGTTCGGGCTTCCGGCGAGCGCGGCGTGCTGCGGCTCGCCGTCGGTGACGGACTACGCCCGGTGGCTCTTCTGCTGGCCGTGCGCGCTGGCGCAGGAGGTGCGCACGGCGAGCCTCTACCACATCGATGGCGAGACGTTCTACAAGAAGCTTCCTGTTGTTGATGCCGAGAAGAGGCAGCCATTGCTGCTAGCGTCACACCATGTCCAATTCCATGAACCACCGGACACGATGATCATGGCAACATCAGAGGAATCAAGTGATCATGTCGTGGTTGTTCATGAGGAGATGGTTCCACCGGCTGTGCAGGTTGTGTTTGAGCAAGTCGTCGTTGAAGGTGATAAATCTGAAGAAGAATGCAGTGCAGTTCATGATGAGAAGATCATGGGTTTGCCTCTTCCGGAATCAGTGATTGTGGTTGATGCTGAGATACCGGCCAGTTTGTCTGATGGAAGCTGGACGGTGGAGAAGGTGAAGAGACTGATGAATGTTGTCACTTTGGTTTCTTTGCTCATTCTTCTCTACACCAGGGGATTCATTCGTTAGTGAGGCACAGAAAATGCATAAAAAAAGGGTACAGATTCAATAGCTAGATGACTGAATTCTCTCATCTTTCTCCATTACTTTTTGTTGGTTCTGATCGAGAGGAAATTCATTCTTTGCAGTTTGGGTGTACATAGGTATACATGATGGCATAAAGATGCCACATGATTAAGAAGGGCTTGCGTATTTGTAATCCATTCCGAGCTGTAATTGCAGCTTGGAAATAGTGAATCTCTAATGCAGTTATACTTCCTCCGTTTCACAATGTAAGTCATTTTAGTATTTCCCATATTCATAGTTATGTTAATGAATCTAGATAGATATATATATGTCTAGATTCACTAACATCACTATGAATGTGGGAAATGCTAGAATGACTTACATTGTGAAACGGAGGGAGTATCTAATTGTTTCAGTTTGCCCAGTGTAGCTTGTGTTTCAGGAAACTAAATTGGGGTGGTTGTACAAAGATATTGTAGTTTCAGTTAGAAATTAGAATCCTTCTGAAACCTTCAGTATAGCCTCTAAAGTTTCAGTTTGCTGTTTCTTTCTTCATTCTGACGTACAAGTGGTCGAGCTTCAGAAGGAACTGGATTGTACAATTGTAAGCAATCACAGTACGAAATCTTAGTAAGGTCTGTTTCAGTTTTCTCTGCTGTAGCGGAAGCTACTATAATGTTGAGTGATAACATGATGAACTGTCATGTGAACAAATTGTTCCTCTAATGTTGTAAAGCGCCAACTATGAATATATAGCTAAACATCATTATCAAGGGCTTATCAATCATCTGTACACTGAAAGTATTTTTAGTCACAGCAGTCTTAAAACTGTACACCTGCATGACTATATGGACTTGAGATAACCTGAAGATGACTTTTGGCTGTATTGCAACCAAAAAAGGAGGTCAGTATCACAAGAAAATAAGCCAGGTTTGAGAAGGGTTTATGAAATCCAGCTTTGCATCAGAATAGAGATGAAAGTGTTGAACAGAGCACGCCAACAGGTGACCTGTTCACCTGTTCTGTTTTGTTGTGTTGAATTCATTTCAGGCAACAAAAAAGCGACTTATTCTTGTTCCTTGTGCTTCAGTTATGGCGCCAACTGAAGTGAGGCAAGTCTGCATACAAAACAAGCAATAGAAATTAAGTCATGGCGAGCCAACGTTGATTCCTGAAAATGAGAATGTATGGAGGACAATTGTGGACGCCCATATTCTTGGACTATGATATGTCTTGTACTTCTAGTCATTTTAAAAGACAGTCTGTTCTTGTAGTCGTTTTGTTCCAGAGTGTTAATTTACTAAATAGTCACGCTTAACTGTTTTGACCGATCCAGTACTCCACCTCGGTCAGTCCAATCCGGCTGGTAATTAAACAACCAGGCCCAGCAGCAAACTGTGGCTGACGCTGACCTCCTCTCCCAAAATTGACAATCCCTGCCTTTCTTTGGTCAACTATTTGCATGCATATATATTGTCTTTTTCTTTGAAGATCATTCATATATATTGTCGATCGGTTGCATGGTTTTGACTTCGAGTTTCCTCCTCCTATTCTTATTCTGCTATGTACTCGATCTGCTGCAAGCCTGCAACTAGCTAGTATTACACGATTTTCTGCAACTCGTCAGTGCAAATAAACATGGAATCACAAGAACAGCATGAAGATGATGCACAGCACAAGCAGGAGCAGCACAAGAAGCACAAGGAGAAGGAGAGGCTCCTCGACTTCCTCCGGGCGGCGCCGTCCAAGACACCATGGTTCTCCTTCTCCGGCGCCGCCTTCCTCACCCGCCTCGCCTCCCTCCGCACCACAAACAACCCTGCAGCTTCCCGCCGCTTACCGGCGTTCGTCCGCTCCGTCGACTGGCGCGCCCTCCGCGCCAAGTGCCTCGCGTGGGCCAAGCACCCAATGAACGCGGCTCTGCTCGTCTGGCTCGCCTTCGTCGCCGGCGGCGTCGCCTTCGTCTTCCTCCTCATGACCGGCGCGCTCAACTCCGCCGTGCCCGACGCCTCGCGCCGCCGCCGATGGACCGAGGTGGCCAACCAGATGCTCAACGCGCTCTTCACCATCATGTGCGTCTACCAGCATCCCAAGCTCTGCCACCACCTCGCGCTCCTCCTCCGATGGCGCGCCGCCGACGTCGCCGAGCTCCGTGCCCTCTACTGCAAGAACGGCGCCGCCGGCCTGCGCCGCGAGCGCCTCCACGTGGCCGTCGTCGTGCTCCTGCTCCACGCCACGTGCTTCGCGCAGTACGGCTACTGCGCGCTCTTCTGGTTCTTCGGCAGAGACAACCGCCCGGACTTGGCCGTCAACCTGTGCATGGCGCTCGGCCTCGGCTTCCCCATCGTCGCCGCCTTGTACATGGTGTACGGCCCGCTCGGCCGGAAGATCGTGCTGATCCCGGCGTCCACCGACGACGAGAACGTGAAATCGCAGGTCGACGAGGCCAACGCGATCGCGGTGACGGCGCAGTGTGACAGCAACAGAAACAGGGCGGTGGTCGCGAAGCCGGAGTGGGCCGGCGGGCTGTTCGACGTCGGCGACGACCCGACGGTGGCGCGCGCTGTCGCTGTCGTGCACGTTCTGCGTGTTCGGGTGGAACATGGAGCGCCTGGGGCTCGGCAACATGTACGTGCACGTCTTCACGTTCGCGCTGCTGTGCGCGGCGCCGGTGCTGGTGTTCGCGGTGGCCGCGCTCAACGTCCACGACGACACGCTGCGGTTCGTCGTGGGCGCCGCGGGCGCCTTGCTGTCCGTGCTGGGCCTCACGTACGGCGGGTTCTGGCGCGCGCAGATGCGGAGGCGCTTCGGGCTGCCGGCGCACCACTGGTCCATGTGCGGCGGGCGGGCAACGGCGGCGGACTACGGCAAGTGGCTGTGCTGCGCGCCGTGCGCGCTGGCGCAGGAGGTGAGGACGACCAACCTGTACGACGTGGAGGAGGACGTGCTGTACGCCAAAGGTGGCGAGGAGGAGGAGGAGGAGGCGGCGATGGCGCCTTTGGAGAGAGAAGGCTGCATCGTCGCCGTTGATGCGCCGCCGCTACCGATGAGAATCGAAGAGAAGGATTATGTCGTGTTAGACATGGGTCAATGAAATTTCGTTCCAAGATCAAAATAGGCAACATGTGAAAATTCCGATCTGTTCTTTTTTTTTTCTTCATTATTTGAAGAGACATTCCAAAATTTGACGAAATTTGTTCATTCGTTGACTGCTTTGGCTTTGGCGCTTTATTTATTTATGTCGGACGATGCCATCAGGCGGCTACTCCTCGCCGGCGTCGCCCCCAGCAACCGCCTTCCGCCGCTCACCGTCAAGCTCCTCCACGCCCGCCTCCTCCTACATCGAGCCCAGAGGGTGTTCGACGAAATGCCACATCCCAGCACCATCTCCTGGACCGCTCTCATCACCGCCTACATGGATGCTGGGGACCTCAGGGAAGCCGTCCATGTCGCAAGGAATACTGTCACACTGCAATTAAACTCATATCGACGATAACTCATCGAGAGATCATTGTCCGAGATAACAACCAATTTCATTGTTTTAGAGATGGTTCTTGCGCTCCTGCAATGACTATTGGTAGAACTAGAAAGTAGACAACAATTTGTCGAGAGGTGTGGTTACTGGATAGAAGAGTATAAACCAGATGTTGTCGTGTTTGGAGGCGCTTCTATGCTTCACTTCTTGTGAATTGCACAACTTTTAAAGCACAAATAAAGGATGGATTGCAGCTAGATATCCCTTCAAGTGATTTGTTTTAACCAAAACACACGTGTACAGTAAAAAAAATATTTCATGTTTACGGGATACAATCCCATTACTGTTCTATTTCATCTCTTTACATGCCTTGTTAGTTATAACACTATTGTTTGGTTTGGGGATTTTTCTTAGGGTTGGCTGCCCTGCATACCCCTTCCTCCTATTCTTTAAACTAGCACGGTTGCCCGTGCAGATTGCGCGGCTAGTCTCATTATATTTTCTCTCATATAATAGCATATATAATAGCATATATGTTTTCTCATTATATTATTAAAATATATTGCAATGACAACATAATTTTAAATTTTGCAATAACTTTTCAAAACTACTAATGTGTAATAACTACTCTAGTCTCCTCTTCTAATATTCTTTTTTTTTAATTCTGAATTTCAGCTATTTCTAAATTGTATTTCTATATGTACTCTGCTTTTTCTTTTTCTCTGATTAATGTGAGAATTTCTAGGCCATAAGAGCGAACGTGGAGTCTCCTTTTTATTCCGAATTTTAGTTGGTTTTAAATTCCAATATGAACTATATACTCTAATTCTAATATTCCTTATTTTTTAATTCCAAATTTCTATTTTTTTCTTAATTGTATTTCTATATGGACTTTATACTCTACTTCTAATACTTCTTATTTCTAATTCCAAATTTCGGTTATTTCCTAATTGTATTTCTATATGTACTCTATACCCTACTTCTAATATTCCTTATTTTTAATTCCGAATTTTAGTTATTTCCTTATTGTATTTCTATATGGACTCTAGTCTCCTCTTTTAATATTTCTTATTTTTTAATTCCGAATTTCAATTATTTCTAAATTGTATTTCTATATGGACTCTAGTCTCCTCTTCTAATATTCCTTATTTTTTAATCCTGAATTTCAGCTATTTCTAAATTGTATTTCTATATGGACTCTAGTCTCCTCTTTTAATATTTCTTATTTTTTAATTCCGAATTTCAGCTATTTGTAAATTGTATTTCTATATGGACTCTGTTTTTTCTTTTTCTCCGATTAATGTGAGAATTTCTAGGTCATGAGAGCGAACGTGTGAAGGCTCCTTTTTTTCCCGAATTTTAGTTAGTTTTAAATTCCTATATGGACTCTATACTCTATTTCTAATATTTCTTATTTTTTTAATTCCGAATTTCTTTTTTTTTCTTAATTATATTTCTATATGAACTCTATACTCTACTTCTAATATTCCTTATTTTTAATTCAGAATTTCTATTATTTTCTAATTGTATTTCTATATGGACTCTATACTCCTCTTCTAATATTCCTTATTTTTTAATTCCAAATTTGAACTATTTCTAAAGTGTATTTCTATATGAACTCTAGTCTCCTCTTCTAATATTCCTTAAATTTCGAATTTCAGTTATTTCTAAATTATATTTCTATATGGACTCTGTTTTTTCTTTTCTCCTATTAATGTGAGAATTTCTAGGCCATGAGAGCGAACGTGGAGGCTCCTTTTTCTGTTCCTTTAATTATATAACTAGCCGGGTGGCCCGCGCAATTGCGCGGCTAGCACCCATACAAAATTATCTATTTTTAATATGATTTTACTTATAATTTATTCAATAGATATTTCATTGTCTTAAGACTTTGAAAGACCAAACCATATCATCCCCGTATTTCTAATGTTGTAACTTTTATAAAAGTCACATCAGTTGTTACCCCTTACTTTTTTGTCACCCTATCTTTATTTGCTTGTTCGATCTACCATGGCTTATATTCATTCTCCTTTTAACCTTTAAAAATTGGATCTTATAGTTTTATAGTTTTTTTGAGTTTATTGTCTCATTGGGTTTCATTTTTTTATTTTTAGAAGTCCCGTTAAAAGCTGCCAATATACTTCTCTACGGCCTATCCGCTGCTTCCTCTCTTTATTGTCATTGGGATTTTAAAAATCGAACATAATTATCGTTTGAGTTCAATTTTTACTTTCTAGAGTCCCACCAAACCATTTGTACTCCTCTACGGCTCGCCTGCTTCTTCCCACTCTTTATTATATTTGAGATTTTAAAATCGAATGTGATTATCATTGAGGTTTATTTTTTAATTTTTTGGAAATCCCGCCACCCGTCGTGACCATTCTACTTAACGGCATGTCCGTAGTCACTCCTTTTAATTGTCATTGGGATTCTATATGGGGTTTTGTTAATAGTTTTTAGATGTCTCATCAACTGTCACCACTCTACTCCTTTACAACCCTGTTACTTCTTCAATATTTATTATCATTTATCATCGTTGTGTTCTAGATGATTTTTTTTTGAAATATCCATATTTTTCGTTCCGATAGATTTTATTTATAAATTATATTCCTAGTTGTTTTATTCTATTTTTAGAATTTATTTTATTAATTATTTGGAATTTTAATTAATCTCATTATGTGTTCCAGATGGTGTATTCTTTAAATAGTCTTTATTTTTTATTACGAATTTCAGTTACTTTTAAATTGCATTCCAATCCAAGTTGAACTCTTCTTTTATTTTCTTATTTCTAATTTCAGATTTTATTTTATTTTTTATTTTAAATTTTAATTAATCTCGTATTAGATTCTTATATATGGATTTGTATGAAATGAGGGCACTGTATTATTTTTCTGCTGCTGCAGCTCCTAGTACGGATGGTATGATCCATAATTAGATTGATGTGATTATCTTTTGTACAGTAAATCTATTTAGTAATTTTAAATTTGTATTCTTACTCAAACTCTCTTTTTTCTTTTCTTCTAATTTCAGCAATTTATTTATTTATTATTCTGAATTTTAATTAATCACGTATTGGGTTCTTATATGGACTCCTCTTTTAATATTGCTTATTTTTAATTCCGAATTTCAGTTATTTTTTAGATTGTATTTCTACTTGGACTCTTTTTTTTTCTTTTTCTCCGATTAATGTGGGAATTTCTAGCCTCCACAGCGAACGTGGTGCCTTCTTTTCGAGTCTTAATAATATAATAAATAGATAAATATTTTACACATAGGCCCTAGGTACATCGCATATTTTCCCCAACACTCCCTCTAAATCTAGAGATGGGCAAAAGATATCAATTATACCCATCTTGTTACATATTGATTGAAAGGACTACCTATACATTTGTCAACAAATTTTCTTTAAAAATTTGACAGATATAATTATAGTATAATCGTAGTGTAATTATACTATATAACTTGTATGTAATTTTGAAGTGTGGGGAGATGGCAAAGGCATGTTACATCCCCCACCCCCAACACACACACGAGTGCTTATTCGTGTGCACACATTTATGCTACTTCCTGAGTTCAATTTTCCGCATTGCTGTAGGCTAGCATGTGAACTAGTCGTTTACAAGATTCTGAACTCATACTGCCCCGGTTTGTAAACCATGAACATTGCAAACCTCAAATTTCACGTATTGAGTAAGGCTAAGCTTTGGATAATTTGGATATTCTTATGGATTAAACTGATTAAAATTAGCGCAGTGTTATAATCCCTTACCATATCTCTGTGCATTAAACTGATTAAAATTAGCGTAGTGTTATAATCCCTTACCATATCTGTGCATTTTTTACACATCCTGCTTCTATGGAACAATGCTAGGTTAGATTCAGATAACCCATTCAATATTATAGCTGTTGAAGGTGTAGAAGATGGACTTGTGCTTGATCATTTGGATCTGCTCTTGACCATCCTTACCATTGCGGCGCACCATATGCAGGCCAGTGAAGACAGCAAAATCCGTAGGGATGACATGAGAGTCAACAGTATAGTCGTCGTCGTCATCGGAATCATCTAGGAAAGCAGCAGCAGCAGGCATATTGGAACGAAAGATCTTGGCAGCACAAAATCTGCCAGAGCCGAGGCTGATGAGGTTGAGCTTGGAGGGCGACCAGGATTTAGGTATGTCGAGGTCAAGCCAAGTTTGCAGGACATCGGGTGGGTGCAGATGGGCGTTGGAGAGATCAATAGCACAGAGGTTGTAAGGGTGTCGGGCAGAGAGTCCAAACCAGAGATTGAGGTCGGGCACATACTGAGCTCTGCCATAAAACGGCATCGTCCAGTAGCCAACATGGTGCCATTCACCGGTGAGTGTGTTGAAGGCATGAGTGCCGCATTCGGGGGCGGTGGAAGAAACAAAGATGGTGGAGCCAACCACCGTACAGGAGACAAGGTTGGCGTGGGTGTAGCTGGCAGAGGGGAGCGGCGGCAGAGGGAGCCAGGAAGGGGCCCTCTCATGGAAGCCCCTAGAGCCGTAGTTGAGCACCTCGAAGCAGCAATCGCTGGTGAGAGGATCGGCGGTGGGGCTCATGACGTAGAGGCCGTCAGGTTCTTGGGGAGCGGCACGGTCGACAGGGAGGGAGATGGCGCCGCGGCCCTTGTTGGATTTGAGGGAGGGGAACTTCACCACGGAGTAGGAGACGGTGTCGAATAGCAGGGTGTGCCCGCTGTTATCCACGGTGAGGATCTTGTTCTCATCGTCGCCGAGGAGGGTGGCCAACTCCAGATTCCTGCTGCTGTGCTCGTATGTCGGGGACGCCTGGAAGTTGATCATCGGACTCGGAAACTGCCCGAATCGCTCCATAAAGTGCAGGCCTGGATGCCTCCTACCCTCATGCTCCTTGTACGCCTTCACTTCTTCTTCCGACTTGGCCGTTGCTGCCTCTGCTGCTCTTCTTGATGGGTACAAGAGGCGATTCGCAGGCACGCGCCGCAGCGAATACAGGCCATCGCGATTGCTCTCCACCACCAGGTTCAGAAATCGTCGGGCCATGCCCATCCCTTCTCAACAACAACAACAACTACTACTACAACTTAAGGCCAGCATAGGATTGATTATTGCTCAAAGAGAGATACATCTAGGGAAAACAAAACAAAACGAAACGAAACGAAATGCAATGCAATGGAAAGAGCAAGAGCAAATTCAGCACCAGCACTAGGGTGGGGTGTGCTCTCAATCTAGGATCGCAGATATGCCTTTGTCAATCTAGGACAATCAGGATGCAGATTACCGGCGGCCGATCGTCGAGCAAGTTTGATGGAAAGCTGATCTGCAAGGCTGATGATGGGTCTCCCCAGATCTACACCGGAATTGAAGAAGGCAGCAGTAACAACGGCGGCGGCGGAGCCTTAGCAACCCCTGGGATGGATTAGGTCAAGCCGCCTGCTCGTGCTAGCTTTCAGGGGTTCCTCTGGGCCATGGGCCGTCGGCCCAGAGACTTTCTTGTGGAATGGTGGTCATTTTTCTTCCCGAACAAGTTTAGTTTAATCCCTCAATATACGTCGAGTTTAACTCGTATCCCTAAAAAAAATAATCTGACATAAAGCATAAACTCGTATCCCTAAAATAAATAATCAGACATAAAGCGTTCCCTAACTTATTAAACCAGTGTAAATCAAGTCCCTCACAGGGTTCCCAAAACTGCCGGCAATAAAAGAAAATCCACGGTAGCCTCCTTAAATTCAATAAATTTTAAAATTGATTTAAAATTTTCATAAATTTTATACGGTTTGCCACGGTTACCGCGCGGTAACCGTGCTTACCGCTGGGGCGCGGTAACCCCGGCCCCGGCGGTTTGGGAACCCTGGTCCCTCAACAGTATTAAGAGCATCCATAATGTATAGTTCATGTAAGGGTACTAGAGATGGGACACATCAATTATATGGTAATTAGATGGGACTATTTATCATATATCTTAGTTAATCTAGTTTGTTAATTCGATTTACTTATATCGGCTGAGATTCACTTTAAGGTTTATGTCGGTATCGGCTAAAATCACTTTACCAGATTAGATTACCAAAGGTATCTACCACCCTGAGAATCAGTCAAGGGCTTGACTTGATTATCTACATATTATGTTTATTTTCATACTTAGTGCTGCATCAGTACATTCGATCTACTAAGTCATTCTTAGAACCATAATCTCTAGCCTGGTTATTGATTTCCAATAAGAGTTTCATCGGGGTTTCAGCCGATAAGTTATCTGGACGTTGCATCGGTTTACAACTATTGCATATAAGTTGGATTTAGCCAATGACAACAAAGGTTTCACTGTTTATCTAATCTTATGGATTTTATGACATCGGACTTCCAGGCGATGTATGCTTTAACTTTCGGATCAGTGATTATTCTATCATATCATTATTGGCCGATTGGTTTATAGTGGATTATATTATTGTTATATTATATTATCATCAGCCGATTGCTTTTATTACATTAAGATTTGGACCTACACTGGAGCTAAGCAGATCCCCAGGCCATTATGTTCGTCGACTTAGTTCGTGCCAACACAGTTCCGGCACCATCGGCCGAGCACAGATTTTTCGTCAACAATGATTAAACTTACTGGTACGTCCGCATCTCATCAAGATTTAGACCTGTACTGCAGTTAAGCTGATCTTCCAAATCGTTGTGTTCGTCAACTTAGTTGGTACCAATATAGATTTGACACCATCTGGCCGAAGACGGATTTTTCGTCGACACAAGCATGCTAGGATCTGTTCTAGTGTGTATTCAATGTTCAATGCGCATTTCGCCTCCCGCTACCCTACCACGTTGAACCGTCATAAAAGGATGTACTCCTGGTGCTCCTCCACGTCATGTGCTTCGTGTAGTACGCTAATGCATGCTCTTCTAGTTTTTCCACTGAGACACGTGCCAGGATTTGGCTATCAACCTCTGCATGGTGCTTAGCTTCGGATTCCCCATCATCATCGGCTAGCTTGTACATGGTGTACGGTCCGCTTACCCAGGTGGAGAAATCCTTTGTAGTCCCGGTTTATAACCCCCCTTTAGTCCCGGTTGGTGTTACCAACCGAGACTAAAGATCGAGCTGACCTTTTTTTTTTCATGGCCCTGTTGTTGCATGGTTTATATATATATATATATAAACCATGCATATATATGATTCAATACATATATATATATATATATATATATATATATAAATATATGACCAAAATATATTTATATTATAGAAAATGTGTACACATGCATATAGAAACATATGTAGTCATGTATTAATTACAATCCATTATATGTCCTAGCTAGCTACGATTTCGACGTAGTAGTACTCGCTGCTAGCTCAGAAGCTAAGGACCGGTGAATTGTGTTTCCGTCGTAGTAGAATTCACCCTTGGGATCAAGGATTTCTTCGTTGATGAATCCCATGAGTTGTTCTTGAACCGCCGCGATAAATTCCTTGTGTGTGGTCAGGTTATCCCTCATGCGAATAAACTATATGAATGTATGAAATTGATTAGAAATTAAACAAGAAATCGCTACGTAATGAAAATTTGAATTTATTTGTACGTACATCGAGCTCTCTTGTGGTGATGATTTGGTCTGCAAGGCAGTGGCAATACTCGCACACGTAATAGCCGCACAAGTTAGTTCCCTGCTTTTGCTTTGCGCACTACAAATAAATGACAAACAACGAGAGATCTAATTAATATACACTTGTATGTATTTGAATCGGAGAAATATAAATGTAGAGCATGTGTACTCACAGGAAATTTGAACTTCCGCCTAAGTCTTTCTCTCCATTTGCCGCGGACCAAATGACAGAACCGATACCAAGCCCTACATGGAGTTTAAAGCTATGATTCGTAGTAGCAATTAACATAACAAGATTTTCTTAATTAACAAAGGAACTTATGACGGTACCTGTCTATAAGTTCGAAAACCTTGTCAAACGTAGACTCTTTTTTATCCATTGAGTCATATACGTTGACGGTGCAGGCCTCCAGGTCGAAGAGTAAAAGCACCCAGTGGAATCTGCAATGTGCGTGGGATGCATTACATATGAAACACTTAGCAAGTTCGTACGGGAATGAAATTTGGTATGTAGGAAGACAGTAAAATTAAACTAACTCTGTGTTGTATGGCAACAGTATGAACGTCTTGTAATGCTGCGCCTTCAGGAGATGGACGAGATTGTCCTCTGTTTCTTGTGGATATTGGTCGAGCATTGCGACGTTTACTTTCCGAGGGTCGATGAATCTAGTATCGAAAACCCTCCGCCGTCGGGCCCTTTGAATCTCCATTCTACAACGATAAAAGGGAGTATATTATTTTCTATAGTCTACTTATATACAAGGATCTAATTAATTAAAGGAGACGTATAGTAAGAAATCTAACTGAACGATATACTTACAAAATCCAGCAACTCATAATAGAGACGTCGAGGGCGTCCAGCTGGTATAGTTCGTAGATTCCCCTGAAATTGATCCAGAGAATGTCATCTCCTTGCAAGAAGTCCGTGTCCCTGATTCTCGCTCCGATCATCTCTCTACCGGTGGCGCTCATCTCCATGTACAACTGATGGAACTTGTACATTTGTGTGGGTAGGGACTGCAGCAGCTCAGGCTTGACAAGCGGTTTACCGAGTTCGTACATGTATTTCACTTCCGCCTTTTCGATTGGTGCGACTCCTAGCAATTGATCCGTAGTTAGACCGGTGTCAGTAATAAATTGTTCTATCGTCATTTCTTTACCGGTCACCAACGGCTTGATCTCCTGGTTTGGTTGCTCTCCAAGCTGAGGGACTGGTGTGGACTTTCCAGAAGATGCTTTCTTCAGCGTTCGCTCATAGTCCGATAGCTTGATGGCCTCCTTGACAGATGCAGACATACCCCTGAAGAAGTTCCTGACACTGGGGTCTATAGGAATCTTCTTTTCTGGACTTCGAGGCTTGAATTGTCTCTTGACTTCTGATGCAACGTAAGCGTCAAGCTCCTCTTGCGTGCAATCGTACCCCGGGTCCTTGTTCTTGGCGGCGTCAACTTTCGCCTTCTTCGTTGCCCTTGTGTGGGCAGGCGGTGGAGCTGGGGGGGCCCTTGACTTTGAAGGTGCCGGAAGAGGAGCTTGCGGAGGAGTAGGTGTAGGAGCACGAGGAGGAGTCGGTGCAGGATCCTGAGGAGGAGTCGGTGCTGGAGCCTGAGGTGGAGACGGTGCTGGTGGAGCATGAGGAGGAGACGGTGCAGGATCCTGAGGAGGAGATGGCGGAGCCGGAGGAGATGGTGCACGAGACGCCGCTTGTCGCCCAGGGAGGAGGATGTACCGCCTGCGCCATAGAATAATGGCATGGCTTGTGTCTCGTAGATGCGTCTCACTGTCTCCTCCAGGGTAATCCAGCTCGAGGTCCTCGTACGCGCCTTCGACCAACTCAACTTCGACCTTCGAGTATCCTGCTGGAATCGGCCTGCAGTGGTAAGTACCTGAAGGGTCCGTTAGGATGGCCATGCCCGACGCCACCTTCATGTTGTGAGAGATTATTTATTAGTAATCAACATATATAAGCAGCAACTAGCGGAATGGCTAAATCTTACCTTTATTGATAAGTTCTTTAAAGGAATATGCAGCTCACATGGTGTCCGCTGAGTGATGTCATCAACGGGACAGGTCGATTCGTCCTGTGTTTGCATGGCGTCCATGCTCTGTGATCCTACCTGCCCCGTTGAGGCGCAGCTGCTACGGTTTCCTGACGGGCTCACCATTGCAGGAGGAATGGTCGGCTGGGGATCATGGGACCGATGTGCGGCCATGCGTTCATCAACCTTCCTTGCCACCTCCTCTTGCATGTTGAGTTCGTAGCTCGATACCCGGAACTCTAGGTCTGCAATCTTCGCCTCGGTATCTCTCTTGCTCCTCATCCGACTCCTGTACGTGTGGATGTCCTCCTTGAAACCAATCTTCCAAGGAATCACCCCTTTCCCTCGTGTTCGTCCTGGATGCTCTGGAGTCTGCAGGGCGAGTGTCAGCTCGTCCCTATCTCTGTCTGGTCGGAACGTGCCCTGAGAGGAGGCTTCCACTGCATCTGTTAGTCGTCGCGCAGCCTCTCGTATCTGATCGCCGAAGACCAGTGAGCCATCAGCTGGGTTGAGCGTTCCACCGTGAGCATAGTACCAAAACTTCGATCGTTCCGGCCAATTGGCTGTTGCCGGTTCGATACCCCTCTCAATCAAGCTAGCCTCCATCTGCTCCCACTTCGGCATCGCGACGCTATAGCCTCCTGACCCCAAGTGGTGATGGTACTTCTTCTTGGCGGCATTTTCTTTGTTTCTTTCCATCATCGCCTGCCCTTGTTCACCTGTCTTATATGCAACGAACTCGTCCCAGTGATCCCTTAGCTTTGGGAATGTGTCGAAGTTCGGTGTCTGCCCCTTCAGTATATACTTCTGGTACAGATCTCCCTTGAAGCTCTGAAACTGTTCTGCCATTTTCTTCAGAGTCCACCTTTTCACTTTGTCCTCTGTACCCGCAGGAAGGGTGAATGTCTCGAGCATTGTGGTCCACAGCA